AAAAAAAAAAAAAAAAACAAAAAAAAAAAAAAATTTTTTAAAAAAAAAAAAAAAAAATAAAAAAAAATTTTATTTAAAAAAAAAAAAAAAAAAAAAAAAAAAAAAAAAAAAAAAAAGAGAAAATATTTGAAAATTTTATATTTATAGCTTTACTTTTTATAAGAATTCTGTAATATTAATATTCCTTTTTATTATATCATTTTGTAACATATATTCCATTTTTTCTTTAATAGGATGTAAAAATATTTGTTTTAGTTTATTATCTTTAATAAATTTCATAACTTTTTCATCTAATAAATCTTCATAAGAAAATGTAATATGCTTCCAAGTAGATTCATCTAGTTGAATATTTAATTGGAACACTTTTAAATTTGAAAATATATTTTGTGATAAATTTTCAAAATTTTTATTTTTTTGAATATTTAAATTATTTGGTTTTCCAAAAAAAGGAGAAAATTTTCTATTTTTACTAATTGAGTTTTCGTTATTTATGATATCATCTATGTATGAATATTTATTATATGGATCTGATATGCTATCATTCCACATACTTTTAGAATCTTCCTTTTCATTTAATATTCTTTCATAGATTTTTGTTTGTTCTATATTTTTTAAATTATTGTGATGATTGTCATCTAATTCTGTTTTGCTATTATTTATACTATTTTGTATATTGTCATTTATGTAATTATTTGTTCTACAGTTTTTTTTTAAATTATTTTTATAATCATTATTTACATCTAAATTGATATTATTGTATTCAATGTTTCCCATATGTTTCATTTTAGAAAAATTTGAGGGAGATAAGTAAGTTTCATTTAAATTGATTTTATGATATGTTTTCATTGGAAGACAATGTGAAGACAAATTTACATTTTCTTTCAAATCATTAAACTTGTTACATAAATTTTTATTTTCAGATGCACCACATAATGTCGTACTATTGATTAAATTTATATCATTTTCATTCTTTATATTTCCAGAGGAATATGCATATTTTCTAATATCTTTTGAATTTTCACTATTTAACTTATTAAAATTAGATTTCTTAATTGTACAGAGTTTAATTTTATTTGTAGTGTTCAAATTATTATTTATGTTTTTATTCAAGTAATCTAAATTATTGTTTGAATGTTGATCTAAATAATTCATATTATTATTAACATGATAATTTAAGTTATTTAAATAATGACTTGGACGTTGATTTGGGTAATCTATAATGTTATTAACATTTTGATTCAAGAAATTTAAATTGAAATCTGAATGATTATCTAAGTAATTCATAGTATTATTAATATTTTTATTCATATAATTTAAATTATTATTACCGTCTATATTAAAATTACTTAAATTATTATTTATATTTTTTTGATTTATGTAAATATCTCTGCTTCTTATATTTGTAATATTGTTTGAATTTACATTATTTTCCATATTTTCAACAAAATTCAAATTTTTAAATGGATAATTATTCTTGATAGCATTTTTTAACTTTTGCTCATTCGTTTTATAAACTTTATAAGGATTTTCTTTCACATACTTCGTTATTCCATTTGAAAAAATATGAATATTTTTTTTTAAAATATTTTTTATTGGAGAATTTTCTATTACACAATTATCAACATAATTTATATTATAAATGTTCTTCTTTAATAACATATTTTTGTAATTAAGTTCATTTTCATTTTTATCTATATTATGTATATATTTTATTTTATTTTCATTTACATATGTTGGTTCTATATTTATTTCATCAGAGGATTTATTATTTGAAACAACATTAACCCTTTGTTTATTAAAATTTAGCATATTTACACCATTTCTGTAATTATGAGAATTTACATTTGATTTTATGTTATAATTAGGATTACTAAATTGCATATGTGTAAGTAAATTAATATTATTATGGATATTTTTTTTTCTATCAGTATTAATAGAAATTAAATCAACTTTACTTCTATTTATGTTATTATTACCAATTATATTATGATATTTATTATTTTTCATTAAGTTATGTACAATATTTCCATTATTGTTATTTATTGCAATGTTATTAACTACTTCATTTAATGGAATATTGTTATTAATCAAATTATAATTTATTACATTATTATTAGTTTTATTATTTAATAAAATATTGTCTTTAGCATTATTATTTATTTTATTATTCACTAATTTTTGAGAATTAATTAAAAATTCTTTATTAAAGTTATAGTTACTTTTTTTGTGTTCCATTTCTTTTACATAATTCTCATAATTTTTATTAAAATCATTGACACTAATAAATGTATTATTTTCATCTGTAGCTTTCTTTGTTGTGTAATTATTCACATTCTGATTTATTAAGTATGGATTGATAATGTTATCACAAAGAGTTTCATTTTTGTTTATATGATATATATCATTTTTATTATTTTTTTTATATTCAGTTAAATTATTTACTAATTCATTTGTATTACTTTCTATATTTTCTCCACATATGTTTAAAGAATTAATATTGTTAGGATAACAGTTCATATAATTTTTTTGCATATTTAAATATTTATTGTAATTATTGTAAAAATCATGCATTTTACCACTATTATCTATACAACTTGTACTTTTATTTGTTTTATGTAATAAATCTTCTGAATTATATATTTTAAGTCTTTTCTTATGAAAATGTTTTTTATTTAAATCTTCATTATCTATACAATTGTTATTCATAAATGTCTTATTTAAAAAGTTTATAGGTGAATTAGCTCTATTAATATTATTATCTCTTTTAACTAAGTATATATTTTCACATGATTTACTAAATTCTGACTTATGCATATATTTTAATGCATCATTTCCTAAACGTTTTGAATGAGACTCCATTTCTTTATTTTTAAGAAGTATCACTTTTTTATCAACTGGGTTAAACGTTGCATTGTTATAATCCATATATCCTTTAAAATTACTTGATTTCATGAGAGGAGTGTGACTTATGTTTGTTGAATAAGGAAATTTATTAATTAATGTGCTATTTGCGTTATTTGGTGTAAATATTATGTTTTTATCTTTTTCTACATTATTATAATAACTCAAGTTGTTAAAACTTACCATTTTAATTTCATTATTTTCATATTTTTTTAGTTCATTACTATTGTTTTTATTCAAATACATACTATTAAGAATTCTATGTTGTTCATTTAAATTTTCTGCTTCTTTTTTAAAGGTAAAATTTTCTGTGGTATTAGGTTCTTTAATTTGAATTTTTTCTGTTTTTATATTATTAGTTCTTTCTTCATGGTTATTCATTTTATTTAAATTTACATTATTGATTTCATGTTTCTCTTTTCTATGAGTACTATCATCAAGCAATATTTTATTTTTTTCATTAATTTCTTTTATCTCATTGGAATTTTCATAACTTACGTTTTCCTTTCTATCAATAAAAGAGTCTTTTACTAATTTAAAATCAGGTTTAGTAATAATTTCATTTTTATTAGATAACATAACATTTGATTCTCGTAAGTTATCAAAAGTATATTCTTCATCATGTCTCTTTAAATTTAAAACATTTACATATTTTTCTTTGTAAGTTTTATTTGAATAACTGGGTATTGTTTTTAATCCATCATTCAGTGAATTTATGTAATTTGAATTTTCATAACTTAAGTTAGTTTCTATATTATTTTTTTCTGTATAATTTTTATAATTATTATTATTGTGAATGTTATAACTATTATCTTTATGATCTATCTTTATTTTTTCACTGGTAATATTCATATCATTTTCAGAAGCTGTATCGTTCTTCGTACTTTTTATTCCTTCTAATTTTTCTTTGAACGTATTTAATATACAGATATTTTCTTTTATATTAGGATCATCAATGTCTTTTTTAAGAGGGGTATTCAAGTTATCATTCCCATTACTGTTGCTTAATTTTCTTCTAAAATTATTTTTATCGTTATGAGTAAGATCTTCTATAACAAAATGTTTGTTATTATTTATTAATTCTTCATTTTTCATGTCATTCTTATAGTTGTCTTTAGATATATAGCTACTGGATAAAGTTAATGAACTAGAATCCTTAATTTTTTCAATCTTCAAATCATTAAATAATTTATTAGAATTTTGAACATCTACATCTTGTTTTAACGAAAACTCTGAAAATATAAAAGGTTCTTTATAACCAATATTTAATTTTTCTAGATCCATTGAATGCCAAATTTTTTCCCCATTAATTTTATTATTTATATAATTATTTGGTTTTTCATTCACTTTTATTCTTTCATTTTTTTCATTTTTAATTATGTCTTTATTCTTATTATATTTTTGAGAGGAATTTTTTTCGATAAATGGAGGAGAATTTTGTTGAATAGTTGTGTTTAAATGTTTTAATTTTTTATTTTCTCTCTTTTCTTGATTTTTTTCATATTCATAATTTTGAAATTCATTTTTTATTTCACTCTTGTTAAGATCATGAAAATCTAATAATAACTCTTCATATGTAGAACTACTTAAACATTCATCATTATATGATATATCATAAATTTCATTTGAGTTTTCTTTTTCTTTATTCATAGTTTTATAATCTTCATTATTATATTCATTTTTTGGTTGATTTTCATTCCCTAAAGAACTACAAATATTTACGTTACTCATATGAAGGATACTTTCATTAGATATGTCAGTATTGGAAAAATCATAGTAATTTTTAGGATAATCATCATCTTTTTCTTCCTTAAAATTATCAAACTTTTTATTCATTTCTGTAAAATTCTTTGGTGAAATAGAATTACAATTTTTTTTTTCATTGATATTTTTCAAAAAATTATTTTGAGCTTCATATTTATTTTTTGAAATATTTTTTTTTACATCGTTCCTATTCAATAAAGAATTTAAGAAATCTCCATTTTTTGTAAAAGTAATAGATGAAGGAGTTTTTAACTTGAAGTTTTGAATATTATATTTTGTCAAAAAAAAAGAAATAGATGCATATAGCCATATAGTAGATATAGAAGTGCTATATACATGAAGAGTAATGTTATAAAAAATATCTGTTTCTGAATTTTGTAATATTATAGTTGGTGATTTATAAATTTTTGATTCAGTAGACTTGATAAAACCATTAATTAACTTTGTTGTGATTAATTTAAATTCTAATGTTCTTTTTGATAACCTGTGTTGTGCATGTTTTATTAATTCTTGATTACTTGTATCAACATTAATTTTAAGATAAATATTCTTACACTTATAAGTTGCTTCAATATCAAGAGGATACTTTTCTGTCTTTTTTCTTGTGACTTCTTTTATTTTTTCATTTGTTATGTTATTAATTACCTTTTTTTTTTCATTTTTTTTAATAGAATATTTACTATCATTTGTCTTATCACGTTTTATATTTTTTTTTTTTAACAGAATATTTTTTTTTATATTTATTTCATTATTTAATTTATCTAAATCTGGATTTTTTGAATAGGAAGAAAAATATTTAGTTAAATTTGCTTTATTATCAAAAGAATTAGTTTCCTTTTTTGTCACTAAATATTTTTTGCACTTTGGATTTATATTTTCAGTTATTTCTTCACAATGGAAATGATTAATTTTATTACTATTACAAGGAGAATGCATGAAAAAATCATGAACACTTGAATTATAACAAGATGACTTACTGTTTTTTTTATTTTCTTTTTCTTCATTTACTTCTATATCCTTTTCATTTTTCTTTTCTAAACATAAAAAATGATTCTCCTTATTCTTAATTTTTTTTTCACAAACTATTTTTGGTAATTTTTTAAGGTTGTCAATTTTTTCGTATTCATAGCAACTTTTTTGATATTTAGTATTTAATTTTTTTAAATTCTTAATTGTTTCATTTTTTATTGGTTCAATATATGTAGGTATATTATTTTGTTTTGATATAAAATGAGCATTTATTTTAGTAGCTTTGTTATTGCCTTTTAGACAGCTTATTTTGAAATTTTTATTATATAAACCTACATTGTTTTTATAATTATTTTCATTTTTTATTTCTTTACTATCTGTACATTCATTTTTTTTTTCTTCTAGTTCTTTATTAAACAAATGTTTTACTCTTTCTTTGCAATTGTCATCTGCTTTTTTATCAATAATTTTTAATGCTTCAGCAATAATTACAGTATTTGTTTTTTGTTCATTAAAATATAATCCTGTTAATTTTATATTCATATTTTCTCCTAACTCTTTACTATCTTTGTTTGAATCAAAAGTTTGCTTTTTTTCTTCTATTATATCTGTGTTTTCTAATTTAATATTCATACTAGGACATTTACAAATTTTTATTTCACTTTTAGAATATATATTATCTTCTAAAATAAGATCCTGTGTATTTTTTAATACTAATGGTTTTTTTTTTTTTTTTTCTCTATATAAAGAAGTTTTGCTTATTGGAGTGAAATTGTATGACACATTGCACACAGTATTTTCAAATTTTTCCTGAACATCTTTTTCTGATACTATTGTTTGATGAGATCTTGAATTAATTTCTTCAATGCCACTATTAATACATTCCACAGAGTTTTCATTGTAGTTAATATTAATGTTACTATAAACATTTTTTTTTATATCGTTTATTTTATCATTATCAGGATATTTATGGAAATTATCATCAATATTATTTTTTATATCAATTAAATTTTTGTGAACAATATTATTATCATTTTTATCAACATTATCAATATTTATAATATTTTTACTTTTTAAATTATCATATAAATTTGAATCATTGCAAAAAATAGAAGAATTTTTTTCTTTATCTACCACTTTCCATTTCTTATTATTGTGGTTATCTTTATGCGAACTGCAGCTTTTAAGAGAATTAGTTATATTATTTTTTTCTTCTTCTGTATATAATTCTTTATAATCTAGTTGTACGATATTTTTATGAATATCCTTAGAATATTTATCTATAGTTTTAGTAGAATCTATTTGACAACTGTTAAGCTCACTTTTTTTTTTATTGAAACTTGGTAAACATTTACTTTCAAAATTTGATGTATTTAAATTATAATTATTTTTTCCTTTTTCATATTTATTTAAATTTATACAATTGTTTGAATTTTCCTCAAATGAATGTTTTTTTTTAATTTTATTTTTATTTTTAAATTCTTTTATATTGGAATAAGTGAAATTTGATTTGTTTACATAATTTGAAGAATCGCTATTAAAAAAAATTCTTTCTCCTTCATCTATCTCATTTTGCAGTCTTATTTTTGATAAATAAAGTTCGTTTTTCGATATTTTAAATTCATCTTTATTTTTTTTATTTTGTTTCGTTTGATTTTCATTGTATTCATTTGATGTTATGTAGGAAGAATAATTATTTTCAATTTTATTTACATTGTTTAGAAAATATTTTTCACATTTAATTTCTTCCTTATTAATTAATTTACTTACATTTATATCATTGTTATTATTAGCAAATTTGTTAGAATCATCATTACTATTTAAAGTATCTGTATTAGTTATACTATTTATATTTTCTAAATTATCTGAATTATTTGAAGTACTTAAATTATTGATATTAATCTTATTGTTTATATTATTCATATTATTTAAGTTATCTGTATTAATTACATTATTTAAGTTATCTATATTAGTTACTTTATTTATATTATTTGAATCATGTTTTTTAGTTATATTATTTAAATTATGTGTATTGGCTATATCATTTGAATTATTTAAATTATTTGTATTAATTGTATTATTTTTATTTTTTAAATTATTTGAATTATTTGAAATACTTAAATTACTGATGTTAATCGTATTATATATGTTTTTTAAATTATCTATATCATCTAAATTACATAAGTTATTTATATCATTTATGTTTTTTAAATTATCTATATCATCTAAATTACATAAGTTATTTATATCATTTATGTTTTTACTATTTTCTATATTATTTAAGTTACATGAATTATTTGAGCTATTTAAATTATTAATATGTTCTATATCATTATTATCAATTAAAATATTTATATTAGTTAAATCATTCAGATTTCTTGTTCCTTTAAAATTATGTAGATAATCTATGTTTTTTATTTTATTATTTATACTTCTACAATCTACCGTTGTATCTGAATTCGAAGAAAAGTTATTACTACTATAAACCTCCTTAGTTATTTTCACTAAATTATTTAATTCTTTTTCATTAAAATTATTCTCTTCTACGTTCTCCTCATTATAATGAACATTTGTTTTATCTAAATGATTTTTGTTTAAATTTTTGATAGATAATGAAGATGGACTTTTTTTGTTTTTTTTAAAACTTTCACTAAAATGTACATCACTTATATTTTTTACTGAGTTATAAATTCCTCCTGATTTTAAATGTTCAAATGATTCATCTGATAAATTTTCTCTCTTATATTTTAAGTAAGAATAATTTGAATTACTATATGAATTATTTGGATATAATTGCTCATTAGTAATTCTATCCGTTAATAAATATTTATTAAAAGTATATTTATCTTCTGTTTCTATATCATTATTTTGTTCGTATGTATTTCTTTTAAAATTCATTAACTTTTTCTCAGAAATACCTTTACAAAATTGTGTGTTTTCTTTATTTTTTGTAGCATAATCAAGTTCATTATTTTTGATTTGAAATTCTTTTATTTTTATACTTGTATATTGATCATTTTTTGATAAATTATCATTTTTCAATTCGTCATTTGTTGAATAATAATTTAATTCATTAGATCTTCTATAGTATAAATTATTTGAATTTAAAATATCTTTATATTTATTGTCTTCATTTTTATATAAAGAAAAATTTGTATTTTCATTTTCATCTTTTATAGATTCTATGTAAAATAAATTTGAATTACCTTGTTTAGAAAATTCTAACATGGTATTTATCTTCACTTTTTCATTAATAGCATAATTACTTTTCCCCCAAGGAATTTTCTCTTTATAAGAATAATTTGAATCAGATATTTCAGATTTGCTATTTGTTATTAAATTTCTGTTTCTTAAAATTTTATTTTTAATTTTATTATTTTCACTATTATATGATTTATTATCCTCATTTTTATTTATGCATTTTTTTCCACATGAATTTTCACCATTATTTTTATTGGATAAAGATGATAAAATATTATTTGAACAGTTATAAAAATTATTTGAAAAATTAATTTCTTTTGATAATACATTTTTTGAACCGTAGTTTTTATAATTTGTAAAATCAACTCGATTATTTATTTCATTTTTAGAAAAATCCTCTTTTCGTGTAATTAACTCATTTATATTATAACTCTTACTTAATTGTGGGCTATTAATAACATTTATTTTATTTTCATAAATAATGTTATCAGAATTATGATGAAGCAAATCTACTTTTTTTATCATATTTTTATTAGGTTGATCATTTTTCTCATTATAATTAATAACATTTATAAGACAGTTGTTTTTTTCATTAATTAAATGATTGTGCATAACTTATAAATGACTATTAAAAAGACAAAAGAAAAATGCTTATATTACTAAACATTTTTTTCTTATAATTTTTTTAGTGAATATATTTTTAAATATTCAATTTATATTTTTATTATTTTTTTTTTTTATATTTCTTATATTTTAAATTATGTAAAATATATAAATATACATATATATATATATACATATTTTTCCTAATTACTATATTTTTTTTTTAAATATAAAATTTTGTAAAAATTCTAAATAACTTATAATTATTTCACCTATAAGAAAAATTCTGAGAAATATAAAAAGAATTGAGACATCTAACACCAAAAGAATAATGTTGTTTTTAATATGCCTTATTATCTAATTTTTTTTTTTTTTTTTTTTTTTTTTTTATTATTGGTGTGTGCATACATTTAAGTACGAAAAATGAGTTAACATTTCACAATAATATTATATTTTTACGTCTATAATAAAGGAAGGAAAAATAATGTATTATAATTATATACATATAAAAAATAAAAATACAACAAATTTATTCTCCATTTTTGTTTTTCATACTAAGTGTAATAAAGCTTCTTAGAACACATTTTATTCCTTAATCGCTATTTTCTATATTTTTCAATTCTTAATATTTATTTTTATATTATATGAATGAGATATAAAATAAAAAAAAAAATAACAAAAAACTATATAAAAAAAATATATATATATCTTAAACAACAATGATAAAAAAAATATTAATAAAATATCCAAGTTAAAAAAAGAGAAAAATTATGAAATATTTAGGAAATATGTGTATGCCTATATATATATATATTATAATGAATGAATTCATATCCGCAAATTTAAGCTTTATAAAAAATTATTTTTAATATGTAGATAAATATTAGTAAAATTATATAATAAGAATTTTCCAAAATAGCTAAACCATAATACAACTAAGAATTGCTACCATTTTCTTTCCTTTAATGAAATAGGTAAAAAACTTAAAAATTATAAATTGATTACATATGTTTTTAGAAACAGTCTATTTGTATATTTTTTAAAAATATTAATGTGCACATAGTATTTAAAAATGAACATAAAAAAATTCATTTATAATTTTCTATAAGCTTAAATATACTTTTTCTCTTAAATATGTGCATTTATGTGCATATGATATTTAAATGGAAAAGAAATAAATATTTTCTCTTTCATTCTTATGGTCTTTATATAGAGCATTTCATACATATTCACCAGTGGAACTTCTAGATATTCTTCATTTTTTTGAATTATAATCATTCAGTAGAATTTTAAAAAACGTAGTTAATTATAATTATCAGATGTAAGTTATTTAAATTATGGAATATAAAAAAAAAAAAAAAAAAAAATATATTCTTTTAAAAGCTTGATAGAAATATAAATGAAAACTCATTAGTGGCAATATTTATTTCTTCTTTTACAAATGGGTAATATTCTATAAAACTTTTTTTTTATGTTTAAATTATTCATCTAAAAAAGATCTTATAATAAACATATAGATCAAAATTTTAATAATTTTCCTTTTTTTATTTATTTTTAAATAAGCAATTTTAACATATAAAAGTTCTAATATTTTTTTTAAATTACTTATTTGCAATTTGATTTATATAAAAGCTAAAACAGTTTATAATATATTATTTTTATACAGCATGATTAGGAAAAACTAGAATAAAATATATTTAAGCAATTACACATATATTTTAAATTTAATTTTCTATAAACTTTTTTATATTTAATAAGAAATATAGATAATAATATCCCAAATAAGACAATACTTTGTAAAAAAAAAAAAAAAAAAAAATAATTTTAAAAAAAAAAAAAAAAAAAAAAAAATT